TATAAAAAAATAATTTTTGCCCAAAGTATTTGGGCAATTTCGGCTACTAATAGAAGCAGTTTCGACCAGAAACTTTAATACTCATCCCCTTTTCTATATAATTTTTTATTATACTAATATTATTTACACTCTGATTACTAGCATTATTTCTATTATTGGTATTTTTACAATTATCAATAACACCACTAGTGCTTGTGTTATTAATTAATTTTGTTTTATAATTAATATTCCTATCTCCTTCTCCCACTTTATCACCACATTGCATCTCTCTATCCAGGTTTTTTTTCTAGTTGCTGTTATTAATATTTTTTTTTCCAACCAACCTTCTTACTTTATGGCTGTTTATGTTCAATTCTTCAATGGCTTTACTCAGGCTTCTTGGGACCAGCCCCTTGAGTATATGTTTCAATTTTATTTATTTTTGTTAGATTCAGTATTATTTTTCCCATCCATCATCACTATATATACATATACCAAAATTAGTGTACAAAGCATCAGATACAGTAATCATAAATCATCTTCATCAAATGTCAGTAAATTGACAAAATCTATCATTTTGTTTTAATAAAGAATTGTTTGAGGGTGTTTGCATAATTTTTAGAATTCATCAATTATGAATCAACAATTCTTGATAAATGATATTCATCTATTACAAACTAAAGTTTGAATTTTTTTCACTTTTGAATTAATCATAATAATAGTATTGAAGAATCCTACAAACCCAATTCTTTGTTTCATCTAGAGTGAATAATTAATCATAAAGTTTATTTTCCTTCCAAGTATTTTTACTTTTTATTAGGTAATAATGTATCATCACGATGCTTTCTTTTTTTAACATTTATTATTTTTCTTTCTTCTTGGTAAATTTCATAGGTAATCCTTTCTTTCCTTAGATAAGCTTCCAGTGTTTGAGTGTCATTTATTTTGAAAATATAAGGAGCAATTTTTTCACCCTGTTCTTTCTTCAAAATACTTCTAATGGTGCTATAATTCTTGGGTTCCATAGTAGATCAGATGTAAATGAGTTTCATATTAACTATTTTTATATAGAGATAATTCTATATATCACTTAAGATAGCAACAAATGGGATATTATAAAACTGTTAATTATGATCACATTACAATGACTAAATTTTGATCCCTGAAATCATTGGTAATACTAATGTTCACTTTGTCTGGTTTTGTTGCAGCATGCCCCAATTCATCTAATTGGTAGTAATGCTTTCAAAAATTCTATTTTTAAATTAGAATGTTTTTTAATGCTCCAAATTTACTCATGAATAAAACTAATACCATTTACCTTGAGAACTCATTGGCAAAGGATTAAAAACAAAATAAACGATTTTCTTTTGAGATTTGATAATATGATTATTATAATTATAATGATTGTTTCTATTATAATAAAATATGTCTTAATAACTTCCATAATTAGATGGTTTGATAAAATTTAATTAGCATTTATATATTCAGTTACTCTTAATTAGTGATCACTTTGACGTTTTTATCACTTGTAATTTTACTATTGTCACTTGATGCTGATTTGTTGGCTAATTCCGAATTTTAATTTGTTTGTTTGTTTATTCATTATTTGTTTATTTATTTCATTTAATTTACTTGTATTACATTTTCATATATTAATGTTTATTATTTATTATTTATTTATTTCGTGCAACGTCGTCAATTAGAGTGCTATATCGCTAAATCGTAATTAAAATGCTAGATCGCAATGAAACTGCTACTAATTAATTTAATTGTACACAGGAAACTTGAGTTCGATATACTTGTGAAATAACCTTTTTGTAATAAATTTAATAAATAATAACATAGAATAAGTTAATAGATTAGTTTTGACTAACAAACAAGCATTTTCTTAAAATCACTAAACAAAATCATTCGCTAATCGTTGGTAAATAAGCCCCAAATAATAATTGGTGACACTATGTTTTAATCAGTAATCTATAATTTTGATTAGTAATCTGAAAAATAAGTTTGGCCTTAAGAATAAAAATAATTATTAAAGTTCAGAATCTGAATATGTGGCTTATTTTTTAGCCCATTGTAGATCATAGGGTAGGGTGATCATGTGACAACACCTGAAATTTTTATGTCCTGCGGATCTTCCCATTGGTTGATCTGAAATTTTTCATACATAATTTAGCCGTCGATTATTATAGTATTTGGAAAAAACCTGACCGTATCTATGTGTAAAATTTGGGTTATGATAGCTCCACAAAAGGGATATGTCGATTTAATATCTGTGATTTTTTTTTTCCAATCAAAAATAAAAACAAAAATTGCTTTTGTAACAACAACCACATGAAATATAATATTTGCAACAAATGCAGGTTTTCGCAACTAATCATTAGAATAAAACTAATGGCTCGAATAAAATTTAGTGATTCAAAAAATTAATAATTCGAATAAATAATATGTAATAGTAAACGGTCATTTATTTATATTATAAAGTATTTTAAAAAATTCAATTGTTGCTGCGTCCGATTATGTGTATATGCACACCGATAATCCAAATATTTTTTCTTTATCAATCTATTTTTCTAGTGATAATAATAAATAATGGTAGAAGTAATTGAAATTTTTATTTTCTTAAGTCATAGTACCATTAACCATAGTAGTAGTAATATAGATTATAATTATTGTAATTTATTATTATCTTGTTAAACTTTTAAAATCTCAACAATAACAATAATAATATATATAGAATTTGTTGCATCAAACTGTGGATTAATAATATTTTATATTTTATAACCGAATAAAACGATCAATTCAGATAAAACAGATAAAACAGATAAAGTGAATAATTCTAAAACGAATAATTCGAATAAACGAACAATTTGAATAAAACGAGTAATTCGAATAAAACGAATAAAAGAATAAAAGAATAAAAGAATAAGAATTTGTATTAAGATTAGAAACTCTGTCTAGCTAGCAAAGTAAAAAAAAAAAACGAGTATTTGGATCAAGAATTAGGACATTTATCGATTTTTTGTCTCATCAACAAAACAACAAAACAAAAAAAAAAACTTCTATGCATGGTTTCTTTCAATGAATTCATTTAATTTAAGTAATCGCAGGAAATTTGATCACACTACAATGTATCACCACCTTGTTAGTGTTCCTATCCGAATATTAATATTAATATTCACATTAATTGACATATTCAAAATTGGCAACATTTTCAGCATTTTTGATTCGAATTTTCGAACATCCGTAATAGTAATATTTGTAATACTTAAATTGATAAATTGAAAATAAATGCCTTGCATTTTAATTAATGATAAAGAATCAAATTCTGATTTTCTCCAGAAGAGTCCATTATCAATATAAACCACCAAATAAAAAAATACAAAACTTTGACGAAACATGGAAGACTCAGAGAAAGCCATATTTGAGATCGTCTTATTGAAGAAGGAAATGAACGACATGAAATGTTGTTGTGTTAATAAAAAAATAAAGTATATATCATGCATGATATCCAAAAGTAAAAGTATTAGGGTTAGGATTAATACTAATTTGAAAAAATTTAATGTTAATTCGAACGTATTAGTATTAAATTTGAACATATTAGTATTAATTCGAAATTCAAATGTTACGAATATTCGAAACTGTTGGTATTACAAATATTCGAAGGTATCCCAGATACTCGAGAGTATTACAAGCATTCGGTTAATAAAAGCCTACCAATGAAAGCTCACCTTGCAATTGTCACAATCTCAATAATTTGAATATCTAGCAATGTGCCATTGCATGAAACAACAATTACGTTACAAAAACAAATTGCGCAACAAAAATAATTACAATTATAATTATAAATTACTATAAGGGGACTGTCAAGGAATCAAAAGGCAAGGATCTACGCGATCAACTCGAAATTTTTACATAAAAAAAATAATATCTAACTAAAATAAAATAAAGTTAGGTGACACCGGTTTAATTCATTGTATTAAAAGTGTCAAAACAAAGCACTAATGTAGTTATTGCGTACTTCATTTTTCAAAATAATTTTTACGCCCATCATTATATCTTTACAGTATGGGAGATGAACCAACGTCTTCTCAATCCGAGAAATATCATTTCCAGTCATCCAATCGTTTTCTAACCATTTCCAGATTATCACCGATCGAAGCATTACGACTAGGGCCTATAGAGTATATCTTAGCGTTGGAGGCAGATGTTCAATCAGACCCAAAGAATGCAAAAGCATGGTTACAGTTGGGAATTAAACAACAGGAGAATGAGCAAGAAGGACAAGCAATAGCTGCTTTGAAAATGGCGATCTCGTTGGACCCTAAGCTCTTAAATGCTTGGCTTTCATTGTCAGTCTCTTACACAAATGAACGTCGTCGTGAGGAGGCATATAATGCATTAAAATCATGGATTGAAAATAATGACAAATATAAACATATTTTGGGACGTCAATATCCACAAGTTGATGATAATGACCAACATAGGTTCATCACAGAATTATTTCTGACAGCTGCTAAAATACTAGATCCTGGAGAAAATCCTGACCCAGATGTACATATTGGCTTGGGGATCTTGTATAATATGTCAAAAGAATTTTCCAAAGCTATAGATTGTTTCAAATATGCTCTTACAAAAAGACCAAACGTAATTAATTGATTGATTAGTTATGATAATAACTATCTTATTGATTATTATATTTTTTTAAGAAAATTTTAATAAACGATTAATTTTTTTCTATAGGATTATGTATTATGGAATAAACTTGGAGCCACATTAGCCAATGCAAAACAACCAGAAAATGCAATAGATGCATATTTGAATGCACTTAGAATCAATCCGCTTTTTATAAGAGCCAAATTTAATTTGGCAATTACATTGGTTAACTTGAGGAGATTCAAAGAAGCTGTTCAAAATTTGTTGCAGGCACTTTCACTACAGGCTAGAAATGAAAGAGGATTGGAGAAGGATGATAGTATATCAGGTGATGAGATGAGTTCAAACATTTGGAATACACTCAGGATGTGTCTTAGGTTCTTGAATCGAGCCGATTTAATTCCAAAATGTGATGCTAGAAATTTGAATGGGTTTAGACAAGATTTTGAATTTTAATAATTTATAAAATTTTCAAATTTGTGATATATATATTCATTTTATTTATTAATTACTAATAGAATTTTTTTTCCTTTAATTTATCACTCGTTTTTAAAGTAATAGTCAAAAACACTTTGTCATAAAAAATTATATTATCAGTCAGTTAGCTATTTATTATATTTACAAAAAAATAATTAATTAATACTATACTTGCAATAAAACATTGTGTGTGACAAGATTCGAATTTGAATTTAGTGAGACTAAATTCCAGGCTTAATAAAAATTTTGTTTTCAATGTTAATATTATGTTACGTTCCATATCTTACGTATTTTATAATTACAACTCTCTATAGAGAACATTTTCCTTTTGTATCATAGTTTTATTGATAAAAATAGGAAAATTATGTTCATACAAATTATATTTACAAATTATTATTATTATTACTTTTACAAATTAAATAGATGCTGGCTAGCAGCAAGTATCTAAAAAGTTAGATTGAAAATATTTTTACAAATAGATAGATACTGGCTAGCAGTAAGTATCCAAAACATTAGATTGAATAGATTGAAACTTTATCTTAAAATCTTTGGAACTTAAATAGCATTTGAAAAATAAAAAATTTAAATGCGTAAAAGAATTATAAAATGAATTGTCTTCTAAATCATAGTTATAAGATGATGATATATTATTTTTATCCGTTGTGTCAAAAATCGGTAAACTGTTTGGAAGTTCAAACTTTGATGCGACAAACCCCCATCGTTTTTTCTTTAATTTGATCCCTAAATCGTCATCTGTATCGTTATCATCTTCAATACTTTCTTCATCCAAAGGTTTTACATATCCCCATCGTTTTTTTGATATTTCGGTTAAATCAAACATAACATCATCAATATCGTCAATATCAATATCAATATCGCTAATATCAATATCAATATCACAGTCATAGTCATAGTCATCTCTAATCTTCAAAGAAGCCTCCAATAATAATGATAACGATGATTTTGAATTATTTCTTTTAACTTTTTTTATTTTTTTAATATTAAAATATTTACCAAAAGAAGAAGATGTTGATGATCTATGTAAAGACATTTTTTATTTTTTATTTTTTTTTTTTCGAAAATTTTTTTTTATTATTTTTTAATTTTTTGACAAGCAAATAAAAATTGAATGCATTCTTATATATACATATTAATGATAATAGTAATAGTAATAATATTAATGATGATAATAATATAAAATATAAATATTGTAATCGAACAATTTACTGGAAACCCCTAATTATTATCTACTATGTTAGAAATGTTGCTGATCGCTATACATAGATACCTTTACCAGTCCAAAAAAGGTTTAATACTAATGGTGCATTACTATTGTATGTATACAAATAAAATTCAATTTGTATTGTGGTGCAGATCATCTAGTTACTTATTATTATGACAATAGAATGCTTAAAAAAAATTTTTTTTTTCCCAAAAAAATAAAGAGGATTCTTTAAGACGCGCAGTGTTGTACAAGGAGAAAATCATTTTTCAAAAAAAAAAGTCATCATCATTGAAGAATAAAAAAGAAAAAAGCAAAGGTCGTTTATATTAGGTAAATATTGTTAGAAGAGAGAAGTTTGAGAGCTTTTCTAACTTTTAGAATATTGTCGTTATTTTTAGAATTTCTTCAATAATAAGTTTCTAAATCATCACACCGAACCCGTCCATACATACCACCGAAAGAGTTGAATCATATATAATAAAATATAAAAAATTATAATGAATTAATTATGCATGCACCAAGGTTAGATGCCGAAATGACTCCTTTTCGGCATGTGCCGAAATAGGGTTCCTACACTTTAAGGACTTTGACGAAAGTTCCGAAATGACAAAAAGTGCCGGAAGTGCTGGAACCGATATGATTGCGATTAAAATAAACCAATTATTTTGTGAATTTTAAATTATTTGTATTTATATGGTTCAAGAAGTAAATTGAACAAAAAAAAACCATCATATTGAATTCTAATTTCTTCTCAATCATCATCGTTATATAATATGAATTTGCAAACATTAAATTTAGATAATACATCTGAAAATTCATTTAACGATAATCAGAAAATAGTCACAGGACGTCCTATATCTGATATATGGCCATTCAGCATCTTGCAAATATTGTCCAAAAACCTGAAATCGTGAAATGCCTTCTAAACTCAAGGTTCATTTAGCTAACGAATGGATCTATTAGAATTATTTTTATATATGAGTAGTTCTATATGTTATTTGAGAAAAACAAAACTAACTATAAAATTGTCAGAGCCATGTTAGTGGTACGATGATGATGTTAAATGATTTTGAGCCCTGAAATTCTTTATATATAGTGCAAATGTTCATTTTGAGTATGTTCCATTTAACCTTATAATTTTTATTATTAAATATCTCGAAATTTATTAAGATAATATGGCATTGTTTCTAAGATAAAAGTAGTCTCAATTTTGTAAAAATTGGCATTTTATCCTTTTTATAAATGAGTGAATCATACGCAATAAAACAAATAAAATGAACGTGAGACACAAAACTAATTTCAGTTTTCAAAATGTTGAAATTTGTTAAACATTAGTAATGTAACGTGATTATAAGCCTTAAATCCTTGTAAGCTAAAAGACATATCACCGAAACTTTTATTATTGAAATATTCTTCCAAGTGCCACAATTATTAGATGATGATGGTAGTGGTGGATTATCATCAATAATATCAATTTTAATTGTTGCCTCACTACGGGTGGAAAACCTATCTCGGTTACACGACAAGGTTTTTTTAAGATAAGATTTCCTTATTTTCTACCAATCACGGGGTTTCTTACAGGTGTTACACGATCTGATTGGCTTTTAAATTAACTCAAATCACAATCACAATTCAATACAGGTTGAGTACAGTGCACTTTGTGCAGTGAGCATAGTACAAAAATAAGTATAATTAGATTGAGTACAGTAAGTACAATTTATAGGTCCCACACTGGTTGCGTCAGATTGAGTACAGTGCACTTTGTGCAATGAGTATAGTACAAATCATTTTGGTAATGGTAATTGTACTTATGTGCCTTTTTTGTGCTGGGTGTTGGACCTATAAATTGTACTCACTGAATCTTATACTCGCTGCACAAAGTGGACTATACTCAACCTGTCCAAAAATGCATGTAAGTACAATTATCATTACCAAAATGGTTAAAATGGTTTGTACTCAAATCACAATTCAATACTCTTCTGAGAGACGGTTCCCGATGCGACGATCACATTTCGTAGTATGTAAACTTAGATAACAAGCCGTACCAAGTTTTTTTATTGGAAGATGATATTTTATTATTATTATTATTAAGTATTAAATAGGATTGGTTATCCAATGGATATGATATGACAACAATATTGTTTCTCTACTACTTTAGTAGATATTCTTTTATTAATTCGAAACCGAACTTCAAAAGTCATTCTCATATCCGTTTTAAATTCCTATTTATTCGGCACAGATTTTTGTAAATCAATTTGACTAATGCGACTGGAAAAAGTTTCAGAAGTTGCAAACATGTTTCACAATTACAATACTTAAATCAAGATCTCCAAGGAAATGTTCTATTTCTAGATTGAAACGGATTTATTAACTATTATTATTATTATTATTATTATTATTATTATTATGTGAAAATAGTCAATTAAAAGGAATTACGCACCATATTCGATTGGCTAATTTAATTCAACAAAATTGTATTTTGCCATTAAACAATTTATAAAAAATTTAAAGTTTAATAGAAAAATCAATCGATTAACATCCCTTTGTACTCGCAACATTTAGTTATACCATCACGATAGTATTCGTGACCAATTTAAAAATTATTGGAACAACGCTTGTAAATTCAATTTTATTTATGAGCTTTGAACATTTCGAATGAACGCTACAGATCTAATCAACATTATCATTATCAATAGAAAAAGAATAAAATAATAATGATCATCATTAACATCATCATTAATATCAAAGATGTTAAACGAAACTCAGAGTTGTTATTGTTCTTGAATTAAATATCTCACTTTCCAAAATCCCAATCACCAACCATTGCAAGATAACCGTTCATCAAGAAAACAGTAGAGGTTAACGCATATATAATATAGATGTAATTTGCACTTAATTTTTTTTAATGTGCTAAGCCATACAATTATGTAGAATATACGCATATAGGATATTTGCTACTAGTTTCTCTGGTGGATGATTCGGTAAAAAATCTTGGGTATTGGAGAATTTAAAGCTAAAAAATCTGAAATGTTTTTATCAAGGGTTAAGCAAGCATCGTGTTAAAACTTGAACTTTAACATATGACTAAATAGTTTAGTCAGTTTATCCAAGTACTCATTTTGAGTTACGCGGCCAGTATGTATGGGGTTTTTTGCATATATATATCATCTATATTATAACTGGTGAGAAAGTCAGGCTAACACAACATAATTTTGCAGGGACCGTTACTCAAAAAAAAAATTTATTACGTTCTTGGCCACATTTTGCTAGAAATCATTATTACTATGAAAAAAATGTATATATTTGAATCAACAATAACAAAATGCAAAATCCCCGAAATAGTACACCCACAATAACCCTTTCGGTTGAATTAGAAGATCCAAATGATCCAAATGATCTAAATGATCCAGAAAATGAAAAAATCAACAACGAAAAACAAACAAAAGCCACAATAGAATTGATAGAAAGAAGAGTTGTTGTAATATCAATTTTAATACCGTTTTCAATCATTGGAGCTCTTATCAGGGTCAAGTTGACTAATTTGCACTCGTATCAAGAAGCTCCAGTATTTTCACAAATATATCCACAATTTGTTGGATGTGTGATAATGGGATTTTGTTTATCTAGGAAAAATTTTATTATGGAAAGGTATATTGACAGTATTTGACAAATACACATACACACGTATGCACGTACGCATGTTATTGATTGGCTCAATTGATTGGTTGTTATTTTTGTATCTATAGATATCTGCCTTTATACTTTGGATTAACAATAGGTCTTTGTGGGTCTATAACAACATTTTCCTCTTGGATTCTTTTAACAATTAAATTACTTATCAATTATCCAAACAATTATTCAAATGGACAAAATGTAAGTTACTAGTAATATTTATTTTTGTATTTTTTATAAATTGATTTTCCTAAATAAATTGTTTTAAAAAACCATATCATATGTATGTGTATATAGGTTTTAGCTAGTTTGGCTGCTATTGGAATAACCATAGGGATGTCAGTATCTGGATTAAGATTTGGAGAACACCTTGGAGATTTTATTTTATCAAGTCAAAGATTCAAATCAACAAATTTACACAAAATTTCAACCAAACCATTTAATTTGAAGGAACTTTCTGTTATTGATTGGATAATTGTTGGATTTAGTTTAACTTCCTTCGCACTAATTATTATATTATTGGCAATTATTCAATTAGACAGAAATTTGTTATTTATTATTATTTTTTCTCCAATAGGTAAAAAAAATATTTTAACGTACATATTATAATTATGACAATGATTCATTTTCTTTTTAAAAATTGGAAATCTCAAATGATTTGTTTTAATTTGATTTTTAGGCACATTTGTTAGATTGTGGCTATCTAGATACAATAGGATTACAAAATTTTTCCCTATTGGGACTTTTGCAGCAAACATTTTAGGCTCTACTATTCTTGGAATTTTGTATTTACTTGGCCATGGTACTATTTCATCAAATACAGGGTGTGACTTGATTAGTAGCGGTTTAGCTGATGGATTTTGTGGTAAAAATATTTAAATAATTATTCTATAACATTTATTATTTATTTATTTATTTATTTATTGTTTATTTATTTATTATCGATTACTTTAATAATTATTAGGATGTTTAACAACAATTTCAACTTTTACTGTAAGTATATAGTATTGATTATAAACAAATAATAATGACAACATATTTTCCCTTTTTACCTTTCACAAATTATCTGATCAATTAGTTACTAATTAATTTAAAACATATAGGCTGAAATTACAACACTTCCCAAAAAACGTGCATATGCATACGCATTATCTAGTACCATCACTGCTCTGGTTATAGTGACTTTAATCGTTGGCAGTTACAATTGGAAAATTGGATTGTCAAATACATGTGAAGTCTTTTAACCTATATACATATGCTGTTAATTCATTTTGCTCGTGTGACATTATTTTCCATAATTAGAGAAATTAGAAATTTACACGTGAAAAATAAAGTTAAATTATTTTTTTCTACTTTTTTGAAAGATAAAAATAAAATAAAAAAATGGAACCGCCAATTGTTTATTATTCTCGTTCAGAATATATCGAAACCGTAAGTGAACGTCCTAAAAAACTAACACTATCAATAACCAGAATTTCCCAGCTTGGTTTTTTAATGTTTTTTATGTTGATTTAAAAAAGGATACTGGTAATAAAGTTAGTAGGAAATCAGTTATTTGTGGTAGTCAAAACATTATACTTGGTGGCAAGGTATAAATAAACAAATAAACATACAAAATACAAATATATTTTAAACCGCTAATCAATAATTAATCAATCAGTTATTTTCTTTTATAGACAATCATACAAACTGATTGTGTTATTCGTGGTGATTTAAGACGTACAGGAACTGGCCATGCAGTAGTTGTAGCTATTGGTAGATATTGTCTTTTATCAAGAGGTTGCATAATTAGACCACCTTACAAAACATACAAAGGGTAATTATTAAATCATTAATTTGCAAAAAGTGATTTTATTATAAATAATATTTTATATTTTACATTTCACATTTGGATTTTAGAATCTTTAGTTATTATCCAATGAAAATCGGTGATCATGTAACCATTGGCGAAGGAAGTATATTAGAAGCTGCCACAATTGGTTCTTTTGTTCATATCGGAAAAAACTGTGTTATCGTAAGCAAGTTCAAATTTTTACTTTTTCAAAAATAAATGATATAATAAGCCAATTAATTAATTAAAATAAATATATTAATATTAAATAAAGGGAAGATTTGCAATCATCAAAGATTGTTGTAGAATCGAAGATAATACAGTTGTTCCTCCAAATGCTGTAGTGCCTTCATTTTCAGTTTATGAAGGATCACCTGGTATTTAATATGAAATCATGATTGATTTTTTGTTTTATTATATTTCCATTATTAATTAAATAATCATTTTTTTTTTTCATAGGTGAGTTTGTAAACGAATTGCCAGAATGCGTGCAAGATCTTTATGAGGCAAAAACTAAAGATTATTATTCAAAATTTCAACCAAAAGATAGTTAAAAGTTGAATTCATAGCAATTGTTCGTAATATTTAATACCTTTATAATCATCTTCATTTTTACATTGTATTTTATTATTTATATCATCGAGTTTATAAATTAGTTTATAGATTAATTTATTTGTTAAATATATGCACGCTGATCAGTTGACATAATTTAAATAAAATTATATCAAATACATAATTAAATATTATTTTACACTTTTAATATGATGATGATATGATGATAAAATAAATAATCGATATATGATATTTATATATTTATATATGAAATTAATTAATCAAATGATTGATTGGTTTGACGTTTTAGTTTTTTCAATAATATCCAAGCATTGTTCCAGCATACACTCGACTTTATTAAACTTTGATTTTAATTCCGACTTTTCTTCCAAAAGTTTTTCAATTTCAGATTTTAATTCAGCATTATTATTACGTAAACCGTTAATTTCTTTGATTAAATTTTTCCGGTAACTTTTTTTGATATTCTTTTTTACAGTATCGTTATCATTATTATATATATTCTTATTGATAGTAATCTTTGGTGGTGGTATTGAAAGAGGAGGAGGTCTTGGGAATTCGAAACCATCAAATTTCATAATCATATCATCATTGTTATTGTCATCGTTAGTGGTTGTGGTTTGTTTGATGAGAAGTTCATTGTCATTGTCGGTAATATTTTGTTTACGATTTTGTTTTCTTGAATTAATTTTTGGTGCTGATAATATTGGAGTTTGTGTATTTGGTGTTATGATTGAACTTGGAGGCAAAGGCTTATTCAAATTTTCAGTTCTTAATTTTGAAAATGGTGAAGCTGAAGACGACAATGATGACAATGGTGTTAATGGCGATGGCGATGACGACAATGGTGATAATGGCGATGGCGATGGCGATGGCGATGGTGATGGTGATGGCGATGGCGACAATGGTGACGAAGATGTTGTAAATGAAGATGATCGTGGTTGTTCAAACAAAAAGTTGTTTATTTGTTTTCGTTTACCCTTGTTTTTCTTGCTTTTTTTATATGGCTTATTTGTTATTATGATTATTGACGGGGTTGCCTTAAAATTATCATTGTATTTTTCCGAGTTCGAATCGAGCTTAGAACAATAATCTTGATCTTGATAGTAGTCGCCTATCTTATTAATGTGAAATAATAGTTCGTCGTGAAAACTCGAATCGTAGAATTTTGGTAAAGGTGGTAATAAGAAATCCCTGGTTGGTGGTTGATTGGATGATGATGGATTGGGCGAATCAATTGGATCGGATGAATTATGAGAATTATTTTGTGAGTTATTATTTTTCGATTTAACGTTATCATAATCTTTGGTATTTTTGTCGTCGTTGATTTCATTAGGTGGTGGGTTATGGTGGTGATGATGAAAATCAATGTTGTTATAAATAACATCATTACCGATCTTAGTGTTAAAATCACTATCGAACGAAAATGTATTAAATTTTTTTTCTTTGTTATCACTATTATCATCATTATTACTATCATTTATTTTATTGAAAAATGACGAAATTAAAGATAAAGGTGATGACAATCGTTTTTTTAACTTGATTTTTTTATTAATTTTATTGTTACGTTTAGTGAGTGTGTTGTTGAATAGAAAAGATGAATTTGTTATCGAGTTGACGGAGGAGTTTGAAGATTTCGTGAAGATCGAAAATTGTGATTCCTCGGTAATACCAAGGTCATCATCATCCAGACAATGCTGTTTATTTACGTAGTGGCTATTAATGTAAAGATTTTGTTGATGTTGATTAGCAGCAGCGGTGGTGATAGTGGTGGTAACTTCAAACTTATTGTTGTGGTTCATCATTATTTTTATATATATATATTATTTTTTTTTCATGAAAATAAAAATTACACTCAGAAAATTACTTTAATTTATATAAAATATTTAATGAACATGATGATGATTATTTAGTAAAAAGCTTTATTTTTTTAGGAAAAAATTACAATCAAACAAATTATTATTATCGTCATCATTTTTTATGTTCTCATGACGAAAAGATGATCTTACCAAAAGAGAAACGTAATTAAACAAATTCCCTTTTTTGATTATAAACAATGCAAGTATAAATAAATAATATATGAAAATAAAGGTTATAAAACTATTTATTTATTTGATCGTCAATGTGATGGTAATGGCAATGTTAATGGCAGAGCTGGTCTTTATTTTGGAGTTTCTTCGAGAGAATTAATAAATTTTATTGGCATTCCTTGCTTCCATATTGGCGGAGCTCCAGATGATGATGATGGTGATGGTGAAGAATTTCCGTCACCACCACTTGAATGCCAGATAGCACGTGCTATAGTTGGTGATGATGATGATGAAGTAGGCGGTAATGATAATGGTGATGTTGCCGGTGTGCCAGAAATATTTAAATTTGTCATTGAATTTGACAACCCACTAATAAAAATAGTAATAAAGAAATTATATTTTATGTATAAATAAATAAATATATTTGAGAGGACGAAAAAAATTTACCGAATAATCTGATCGGCTTCAGAACTCCTTCTGCTTGCAAAAATTTGACACTCTTCACAAAAACTATTTAAACTATTGATATTACCATCATAAAACTATAAGTGATAAATAAATATAAATTAATATATATATATGAATGCATGTATATGTATATGATTGATAATAATGAAGTCTCCATTTTAACCTTTATGCCATGCGATAAGAATTTCTGAATTTCTTTGAATTTTTCATAACCAATTTCAAGTTGTTGAATAACACTATCTCGCTCTGTATTAACAAATTTAGTTCTTCTACGTGCTTCATTAAATTTTTTAAAATTTTCCTATATTATTGTTGTTATTGTTATTGTTAATAATATTATTAACATCATTGCTAATAATAATAATAATAATAATAATAATGGCAGTAATAATGCTACCGTCATATTACTACTAGCATTTAGAAAAAACTCACATTGATCGAATTATGTAAATTTTCTTGAACAATAGTTGTTTGTTGAATATATTTAAAGAATTTATCATATTTTGCCAAGTGCTGATTAAATAAATCTTCAAAATGTGCTGGTTCAACTTTAGTGGTTCCGGTGGATGTTATTCTTGCTGATTCTTTAAGCAATATTGGACCTAAATAAATATATACGAGATATGTATATAAATAATATATACATTCACATATAGGTGAATATTAACATTATTCTACCCTTCTCATACATATCCTTAATTAAATGATCATACCAATGTCATCCAAGTCTGCCATCCTTTTTACTTCTTGTGTTTTATTCTGGATTTCTTTTTTCAAATCATTAACTTGGTTCATCAAATCACGTAACTCATTAGCTATTCTTTTTACTTCATTTGTTGTTGCATCATCATCGTCGAGTGATACTTTATTAGGTGGAATGTGTCTCATCAAATAATCCTATATATAAATAAATAAATAAATAAACAAACAAATAAATATGTATAAATTACATTTTCATATCATCTTACAATCATAATAAAATAAACATAATATTACATTATCAGAAGCCAGTATGTTTATAATCTCTGACCATTTATTTAACATTTTTCCAAGAGTGAAGTCACTCTTGAGTGCTTTCTCAAGTGTACTACGATGCCCTTGTGCTAATGCTACCAAATTTTTATTGACTTCTTGAGATTTTGGTCTATTCCATTTCCCTGCGTAACTAGATTGTAAATCCTCATCTTCTGTGATTTCTTGATCCAACACTGCAAACGCCTACCAAATTAATAAGATAAGAATAATATTATTATTATTAACATTTAAATTTAAATTATAATCCATAAATAAAAAATTATTATTATTAAATAGTCAATATTACTGTTTACCTTATCCAATAATTCATTACAACGACTAGAAAGTCTGTTTATTTGTTCGTGCAATTCATTCAATCTAACAGTACCACCTTCGTTGCGAATCTCTTGTGCTTTTAACATCAATGATGGTGGCAATTCGTTCGACCCCTCAGAATTTAAATTCTCTATTGAATTAGGAAGATTAAGTGACCTCAATATACTATTAATATTGTTAATATTATTAATTAATTTCTTGTTATTATCATTATATTAACCAATTCCAAAAAGTTCTAAAATAATAAACACCTTGTAGAAATATTAGGCAAATCAATCAATTTCGTCAAAATGTCTTTAACCAATTTCTCTTTTCGATCTGAATAGACACTATGAGCTTGATGAACTGCAAATGGAACAAGCTTCGCAAATAATGGAAATCCTAATACGGATGTCCCATTCATCAAAGAAATTGGGTTTTCAACTTCTGGTGGAATTTTTATTTCTGTCATATTTGCTTTACTTATTGTACTTAATGATGATGCTGCTGGGATTGTTTGTAGATAAATTATGTCATTGTCTTTTTCTGCTCGTTTAAGGTTATTAGAAACTACATTTAGCAACGACTTTCAAAATTAAAGAATATATATATATTAATTAATCAATAAATCAATCAATAATATATACTATGTACAAGTCTATAATACACTGATATTAAATTATTTACTTCTAAATCTGTGATAACAAATTCGTGTAAAAGTTTTTTATTTTCTAAACAACGTCTAATATATCCGTCTGCTACATGTAATCTTGCGATTTCTTCACCGTACTTATTTTGGCTAATACATTCATTGGATTTACGAAATTCTGCAGCTGCTCTAAAATACCAAGATTTCACGTTTAAATGTGTAATCAACTCCTAGTAATCATATTAATCATATCATATTAGACTTTTTAAGTATAATAATAAGATAATAATAATAATAATAAATATTATCATTATTACTTGTCCTAATAATTTAGTAACTTCAGGATTGTTGGAGGCTGTTTCATATCCAATATCATATAAATGAGATACTTGACTTGCCAACTTTGCTATAACTCCATCTTTCATATTATCTTTTTGATAATTTAGAATATGAAATCGACATACATGTGTGTATATATATATTAATCAATCAATCATTTGTAATAAACCATCTCCATTTAGTTCACTATCAATCATTACTAATAGTTATTATTAATTACCATAAATAGCTTTTTGCCAGAAACATTCTTGAGCCTGTGCCAACATAGTATTTATTAATACACGTAAAGTTGAAGTAGACATATCTAAAGGGGGAGCAATTCGCATTTCTGGGACTACTACTTTATCCAAATGTTGAAAACATCCAGCTGCATTCTAAGTAACATATATATGAATATAAATATGAATATGTGAATATAATATATATATATATATATATATATATAGGTATAATTATAATAGCATTATTGTTATTACTTGGAAGTGTTGACATGCTCTTTTAACACCTTCAGGTGATGATCTATTTTCTGAAATCCCAAGTTGACTGTACATGGCTGCTATATTGAATAATACACATGCCTTTTCATAATAAAAATTTCTATGCGAAACTGTAAATAGAAACAACAAGAATTATTTATTTGTTGCTCTCTTTCTCTTTTTCACACACGTTTCTCCTAATAAAATAACATACCTGGTTTTTCATCAGCATTTGAAAAAGACGATTTCCATGGAAACTCTATTCCTACCTATTAACAGATACAATTAATACATTATTATCCTAAATACAAATGCTTTCATTAAAAAAGCTTACATCAATTGGAAATTTAGATCCTATAAATACGAGTTGTCCATAATATCTAAAGAAAAAATTATTCGATAAATTGAATAAAAATTTTCACTACCATTAAATGTAATCAATATTCCAAAATACTTTGGAATGTAACTTCTAACTCGCTCACTTTAATAAACGATGAAGTGCATTCCGATGTACTTCCAAATTCAGACAATCTGTTCTCAATTCGTCAAGAACACGAAAATCGTCGGTATAGGCATCAGGATGTTCACCATAAGCTTTAAGCACGTACTCTCTAAGTACCTTTGTCAATGCAATTCTTTCGGTTTGTTTAAAATTTAATGAAACTATATTTGATAATTTCGGTGCCATAATTTGTAAGGATGGATGATTGATGTTTTGAAACAAATGATCAGACGATCAAAATAAGATCATTTTATCCAAATTTAGCAAAATTAATTTGTTAATAATAAAACAACTGTTTTTGTATAGCCACAACTTGCGGTAAGGATTCTCCTTCAAGATTGTGATGGAAAGATGAAATGTGTATTAATAAAGAGTCAAAAGGACATTAATAAGAAAATAATAATAGGTTGCTGGTCAAAGACCTAATCTGTAAATCTATTATAAAAATATTATTCGCTTTGATTAAAATTTTAATCCTCCTCTCCTCCCTCAAGTTCTCTCTCACTACTACCGCTGTAAGTAAATCATAATCTTTTGAATATGTAAGTCTTGATCGTTTTTTCAAGAATGAACTTGAATTTTAATTTCATCTTTTTTTTTTTTGCAATGGAACCGCTTTTTTCTTCACATGTAAGTAAATTACATTATCTTTATCGAACAGGCAAGATTGATTGTTTTGTTTTCAATGAACTTGCATAACATTGCGATAGGATAAAAAATCATCAACAAGAGCAGCAATTCGTATCTTTTACAAAAGAGTTTATGACATAATTTAACGTTATCGATAACATGCTACCATAAAGAATTGACAAAGCTCTAGAAACAGAAAAAGAGACGATAATACCATTAAAAAATTCAGATTCTTAATAAACATATCCAATATCTTGGAGACCTCGATAAATTATAACATTCGAAGATTTAAAGAAACATAAGAATCGGCCTAAAATCAAAAAGAGATGCCATTATCAATTTCAGGATATGAAATTGCATTCACAAAACCATTGCCCAACTCGTCATTTTTATTAAACAAACTACTCAAACTCATCATCATATACCAAATAATATAAATAATGCAGTCAAGAAATAATTGAGAACTAAAGGATTAGTAAATCACAGCCTAAAAAAGATGATATTCTTCCAGGCCTTTATGGATCTCAAAACAACAATTATAGTAATCAATGTTAATAATAACAATATTAATGGTGACTGTGTAGGTGATGGTATTATTAACAACAATAGTAAGGAAAAATTGAATATGGACAAATTTCACACAATCAAATTCCAATATGACTAATTCTATTTGGGATAATAAATGTATATATCGAAATTTTGATAGAGAGTATGTACATTATGATGATGTAGAAGAGGCAAGCATTCAACAAATTTTTATTTATTTTACATTTTTTGTCAACTTGTGGATTTTTTTAAAAAAATCATTGTATTGATATAAATAACGAAAGAAAAGGATTTGGTGGAGTGGGGCTAAACATCATTGTAGAATCCTTCGTGGCAGCACTCAAGGAATAACTAGACTAGCCATCAGAAGTAGAGGAGGCATGAAATATATTTCTTGACTTATTTATAAGAAACTCGTGATGTATTTCATGAAAATGTGATTAGAGTATGTAATAAAAAATGATGACGACGAATAATAATTAAAAAAATACAAAAATAACTATGGTGATAATAACTTGATTTTTTTTATTTTCATTTCAGGTAGGATGCAGTGACTTATACATGCAAGTCAGTTACATCTTTG